ACATACCAGAATAATGGACCAATCAATCACCACTTAACGGTGGTGGGTCATGGCAGCCCGACTCCTAAAACGATTCTCAGAGAGCGAAAACAGCATCCAACCTACACAACATGTGACATCTAATTCAGAAGTCTCATGATGACTTAAAATACCTTTTTCAATAAGTTCATTCCATTTTTTACTCCATGCTTTCAGACTCTTGGCATAGCTTTTCTCGATTTCGCCACGTTCGACGATGAGCTTCATCATGTCATCACAGAGCTTATGACCATCTTCGATCCGTTTGCAAGTCCGTTTGTAATTGTGGGGCTCCCAAAACGAGTCAGAGCCGGGGGCGAATGCATTCTCTTCGCTGTTCACAGACATCTTGAGACTGTTTCCTGAGGAAAAAGCAAAACAAGATAGTTACATTTGAACGCGGTTGGGAAAGACCCTGGACATTCTGTAATAGGCATAGAAAAAGAAGGCCATAACATATCCTGTCTGAGTGTCATAAATTGAGCCATTGTGACCTAGTTTAGAGGGCATGTGAGTGCGTAAGAGCTAATGGAAGCAAAGGCAGATATTGTTTAGTCTCTTTATGTGTTCCTTCCCAAAACAAACTAGCAAAAACCAAAAGCTTGCAATCCAATGGCTCAAATCATGATGTGTAACTGAAAAGCTGTTCACCGTTCAGTGCATCCCTTTCAGTCTTGCTGGCTCCTGCTGCCTAACAATGCTAAAATGAAGGCAGGATGGCATGAAAGGGTCCTATCTTGAGATGACAAGATGCCAACTTCCAACAAGCTATCTCACAAGACACCAACCTCCAACAAGCTAGCTCCCAGCCTCCCCACTTCGTTAAATTGAATTATTGTTTTCCGCCCATCATCCCAATAACTCCCAGAGAGTTCCAGCCAAACTAGAAGGCCTTGCCCAGGGCCTTCTGAAGGCAGGGTATTCTAGCTCCAGGTAGAAAAGATCTGCCCATGATAAAATAACAGGTGGCATCATTAGGATTTCTGTGCAGATCGAGCACTGTGTGGACACTAGCAGCATCTATCTGACTCTGAGAGTATTTATGAAATAATGTTGAACATTCATAATATATTTGTGTCATTGAATTAAAGTTCAATCTAATAAATTAAAACACTAAAAACAATACATTTATGATAGCTATTTCCTCAGAAATTGTTCAGGGCCCTGTTAAAGTGTCTGCCACCGCCGATGCTAGCGTGGTAAAAAGGCGAGGCTTAGCTAATGGCCAATCAGGAGTCAGGACAGCAGGAAATGCAATCTGTGTGTAGCCTGACTGGCTGTTAACTAAGCCCAGCCTTTTTAATCAGGGATCCACGGCAGCCAAAGACACTTGAACAGTGCCCATGTGTCTTATTCACATTGACATGGCTACACCAACTCTTAAATCTGAACACATCATTGATATTCTTATGACTATGGCACGACTCAGCTCATCTACCTATCTATCAAAATATTTATATGAAATTTATGAACATATTGGCATAATTCAAAATGTTTTGCTCAATGTCTTGCACAGAAAAGAAGCACTATTAATAGTTGATAGCCTTGCGTTGGTGCAATGAACACTGGAACAGACATCTCACATATAACACACACATCACACATAACAGCCAACAGGTGTTTTCGGTGTTATAAAATCATACTGAACGCCAGTGATTATTTTTACATTAGCCTGAAAGTAACGAAAAATGGCAAATTACTGGAAATAAAGCATGTAAAAGTGCCCTACCCACATAGGCAGTCGCGCCAGAAATGTAGCAATAGCCACGTTCAAGCTCGATAAAAACATTTATTTTAAAAATGGAAACATAAAAATAAATGACGTCATGAAATATTTGTTGAGCGCTTCGCAAAATGCCATTTTTAGTTATTGAAGGTAAGTATATTTTTTAAACAAACATAGCTTGAGATATAGTATGTGTATTTAGAAGTCAAATTAGTCCTAATATGCTGTTTTTAGCCAAATCGCTCACCTCCGTACAAATTTGTTTCGTGTTTGTATGACGCAATAAAAATGCGTGAAAATTGAAAGTCTGAAATACCAAAATAATTCCGAGTGTGTGTGGTTGTTGTTTTGTGGTGATATGTGGTGATTGATGCTGTATTATGTTATTTTTCCATGATTGGAGAAGTGGGATGGCATACTAGGTAGTGGGCAATTATTCCAATATTACAAGCACCAGTATTTTGATGTCACAAATGTTTTTGTGTTGAAAGTCGATGAATGACAACTGGACTGGAGAGCTGATTTCAAATTCAAATTCCATTACAATTATTTATGGTTGGTTTGATATTCTCGTGCATATTAGAAAGATTTCATGTTGATATTGGTGTAAAAAGTTGCACTTGGTTATTCATTTTATCGAAAATAATATTTAACGGGTGAAATGGTACCTACTCTCAAAGACCATGTCCGAGCCTGTATTGATCACATGGTCCAGGTCATAGAATTGCTCATGATGAATGGGTTTCCTCTGCTTTTGATATTTATATTCCAATCAATATCACTTTTCATGATGAGACTGTGTATTTACTCAATCATATGGGTAATTGACAGCTCAAATGGCCTTTGAAAGCTGAAGCATGCAGTTCTGAAATATTTACAGAATATCATTATTAGATGCTTGAGGTTGAAGATTGTTTTGCCTTTTTTTCCATGAAATTGACATCATGACTTATTACAGCTAAATACCTCCGTCACCGCGCTTAGCTGAAATGTCGCCACTGCCGGAGCCCATGTACTGCTCGCAGCAGATCAAAGTACCGCCGGCCTTTCCGGACATTCTGAAGCAGTACACGAAGGCGGCGATTCGCACCCAGCCACGCGACCTGGTGCGCTGGTCGGCCGCCTACTTCCTGGCGCTGGCCAACGGGGAGCGGCCGCCGATGAAGCAGCGACTCGAGTTTCCACCTCCACCGGCCACTATGAATGGCCTCACACAGGGCTATCTGCGGGCTCTGCATAGTCAGGTACGGGCACCATGTGACAGTAAACAACCACGAATTGTTCTTGACAAGTGATCAGTCATTTTAAGATGCCTAGTCGGTCGTCGTCAATTTCTTATCGCACCTAGAAACCTCTTACCGCCCTTTTTTTCCTGTGTTTCGCTACGTTTGCTTTCGTCCTGTGCCGCCTCTATGACGCTGTATTCACGGGTATCCGTGCATTGCTTATCCGCTCGCGCGCTGTTCGTCTTGTGTAGCTCTGTGTCCTCCCCGGCAGTTTGAGGATCGCAAGACGGTGACGGCGGATGACATCCGTGACGTGTGGCAGTCGCTGTGCCTGCTACGTCAGGCGCTGGACGACCTGCTACTGGCCGGTGGATTCGACGAAGAACAGATCGACTGGCTGCAGTTCCTGGCGCTGGCCGCCGGTACTCTGGAAAAAGTGGGTTGATAGCCGCCCGTATTTTGAAACGGGCTTGTACTTCTGCACAGTGCACATGGTAGAAAAATGGATATACTGGAATCCGGTGTTGGGCGTTAGTGATGTGATTTTTAGTGAACAGATGCGATGACGAATTGTGTGTCGAGCTATGAGCAACTGTCTCTATTTGTGTGGCCATGTCTGTCTGCCCGACCGTGCCTGTGTATCTTCTGTCTTACCGCGAATTTTCTACCCTCCTGTTACCTCCAGGACCTGACAGGCACTATGCGTATGGTATGTGAGATTATCACCGCGGAGCCGGCCGGGGGCAGCGCTGCCATTCCGTACAACACCTTCGAGCGCATCTACAAGTACCTGGCCACCGCTGACGGATCGGTAAGTTTATACTCTATGATTAGGGCATATTCGGTGCTCCAAATAGTAGTTGTTAGCAGCTAATTGCACGCTTTTTTTCTCGTTCAGCGTTTCAGTGCTTGATTAATCAAAAATCGTTTTCGCAGGTGCCTGATTCTCGCGTGAACAACGTGCTGGAGTACCTGCGGACGGAGTCGGACAAGACAAGCCGCATGGTGATGCCGCGTCAATTCGAACACCAGGACTGCCCTCCGCTCCACTAGGTTCCATCAGCAGAGTGGGGAGGGGTACCGCTCAAGCCCGAGACGCTCGACTGACCGTGGCGCTTAGCGGCAAGCCCGCCCTCAGAAGAGAGGGTTAGAGCAAGCCTTCGACTCCGTCCACTTTGACGTTCACGCTACTTCTAGAAGTTGCTCTGAGGACCGACCGTCCACAGCTGAGTGTGCTACACCGGTCGCTAGAGAGCCGATCTCGCCCTTCGTGATCTCACCGTATAGCCATTTATCACATCTCATCGCTTTCTCGCTGCCCGTCACGCCACGCAGCGCGTATCACACGGATCCGTCTATTGACACAAAGAAAATGTCGCAGTTTTCTACACGCGCTACACGCTAGCAATGTGCTTTGCCGTTAAAATGCGTCGTTTGTTGAAACGTCAAGCACTATCGGGTAACAAACTTATTGACTGGTTGTATTGAGTGTCCTGATGCGGTTTAAATTTGGTTGCGGTCTTCCCCTGACACCTGAAGACTGCCTTACCCATCACATTCATATAAAAGGCTGTGCACTGTTGGGTTTTAAACATTCAAGTGTCATGCTCGAGCGAATCACGTTATTTCTTATATTTACCGTACCTGAGTTGTAAAAAATCTAGTCATTGGTGTTGCCTGGCTGTGCACATGAGCGTTTATTTATCATTACCGTGTAATATTATATTATGCATACAATAAAAGTCCACTAGAGCCATATTATGTCTTTAAAGTTGTCAGTGAATTTAAAATAATGACACATCAATCGTTGAAAGTTGAGGGGCACGCTTGGACCCATGTCGCTTCTCCTGCCCTAGGAGGCGGTACTAGACGACTCTTGTGTACCCACACCCTCCTCCCCTCTGTGTGTGTTGGGGAGGGGCAGTACACGGCCGTGGAACTGCGCCGCCCACACCCAGCTAACGAGATCAGCCGGAAGCCCCGAGTGGAGAGCGCGGTCCGGGCCGTGTGTTCGGGCGTCGGCGCCCCGTCCGAAGCCCCGACCCGGGCCGCTGCCGGCGGTGTGACCGGCACGGAACGCTGTGTGAGGAGCCAGGAGCGGCGCGGCGGGCTCGGAATCAGGTGAGAGAAGGCTGCAGCCGTAAACCTTGTGGCTTCTGTTCTAGTTGTGATCTATATGATCTCCCTGTTTGTCTTCCTCGTTTTCCTCTCCTTTCCCCTCTCTCCCTCGCTCTCTCCCCTTCCCATATCTCTTCTCGTTTTCTCTGCCTCTTTCCGCTAGTGATCATTTCTCGTTTTTCATTTCATGTGTTTCGATAACGCTCCCCAGTACGGGGGCACTGTCTTGCCATGGAGGTAACTAGTCCGATCCCGCCAAGGCTCAGCTGTCAGTCTACCTAACGTTGGCGACCACGCTTACCCCTGCGAGCTCCAGTTCAATTACCATAACGGGTTATGTAGATAAAGATGCATACAAGCACTGCCTCTGTATTTGCGGTACTGTCACGACCCGTGTGTCGCTCTGCCGGTAGGGAGGAGAGGGCTGATGTTTGGCCCCTTTGCCACACCTCGTCGAAAAATGCCGTTGTGCCTCTCCATCACACTCCTCCTTCACCCACAGATGGTAACCCGTCCGGCCGGTCGCTACAAAGATGCAGTACGGTTGGGTACTTCTGCTTGCCAGCACGCTGCCGCACATCACCATGGGAGGCGCGTCCAGGTATGTTATCGACCACACTGGCACAGATAACAGTAGTACTGGATTGGAAACAGGATTCCGGTGGCTGCAGTAAGAGGCCGAAAACAGAACCGAATATATCGTGCCCATATTTCGATATCTCCTCTCACAGGCAACAAAAAATATTGGTTTATGTGAATGAAACTTATAAAGAAGCAATCGACTAGCCGTGCTCGTGTTTATTGCTGCATTTTTGCATAATGGCAACTTATTTTACTAAACGTTGCTGGTTACACTTTCTTCACCGTGGTGAGGGAACGTATGCCACTGATTTGATTATAATGATTTCTCACTCTCATCCACAAAAAGTACTTGTACATACATGGGAGTTTGATCTCTTTATTTACATGCTAATCGATACCAGTCCTGTCACAACGAACCATCCAAACGTCACGATTCAAACCAACGTCACAAAACACCCCTTCAAGTGTCACTTCGCTTCGCCTGCCCTCCCAATTTCGTCAGCGACCTTACTTCCCCGCCTTACATCTTCTTGACCCTGCTGAGCTTTGGCCTCTTGTCGGTCCTCGATCGGGTTGCACCAGTGGCTGGGGTGTCTGCTTCCTGACTTTCGATGGACAGCGCTGTCTTGAGTGTCTGTCTCACTTATCAGTTACCATGTTTCCACACTTTCCAGCAAATAGATTGAAAACCGTCGCATACATCTCTGGAAGGAGGCTCCTAAGGACGTCGTGGCTATCATTGTAAACGACTTCCGGTCAGTTCGACATCTCGGTTTACGACTATCTTCGTCATTTCTGCGTCACTTCTTGGTTGATCGCAGACCAGCAGCTGGTACCTGTTAGCTTCCGTCTTCGGCAGTTGCCTCCAAATCTGGCAGATCCTCACGGTGAGGTCGATGTCTCCCTTGTCTTTCTCCAGTCGTACCTCCAGCGGCGTAGCCCCATGATAGATCAGCAGGCTGGCGGAGGCACCGTACTTGTTACGCCTGGTGGCCGAGCGCAGAGCCGAGCGGGCCAAGGCGCCGGAGCTGTGTCCCAGGGAGGCCTTGGCGCTGTCATCCAGGTCCTCCATTTCAGTGGCTTTCGCCACCGCCGCCACTAGCTCCTGGATGACAAGAGCACCATCCTGCTGTCACTCCTGCTGTGATGATGCCATTCGGGCGGAGGCGTCGGTGGGGCTGAAACGTGACCAGTGACCCGGAGTACCGCCTCATTCTCCAGGAACTGTCGGACACTCGACCAGTTGTAGTTGCCACCTGATAGCTGATATTGTCATTCGTGAAAAACGCATCGGTCTGGCCCTTCATAACCTGCACGTGTGAGTGGCGTGCGGATGCCATGGCGTTTCGCTGGCCGCTCGTGCACAGGGGGCATCGCGTAATCCACGCTGGTCAATACTGACAGGGCTGCGCCGCTCTTGAGCCGACGGCGCTGTCTCTGCATGCCGGTGCGAAATGACCGATCTTCTTCGAAATCTTCCTTTCTGAAATGCAGCTCACACACAGCGGAATAGTCCTGATCCCACTCAGCCCGGTCACGGTGACCCATGGCGCCAACCCACTGAGCCCGTAGAGATGTTTCGGTGAGAAAAGCGAATAGGTGGCATGTGAGACATCTCCTGTTCTAATCTTTTGTTCCTCTTGGTTCGTTGGGTTGTAGCCAGAACGGCAGGTTTTTACCGCTCATTCCCCTCCTCCATTGTTGATGTACCTATACGTATGTAAGGCTTTGCACCACAATTTTTTCAAAAGAAAACACCACGCATTGTGCCCTCTAAATGATCAAATTAAAAGTGAAATACTTTAATTTTCAAGCAAATGAAAGTAATTTTGGTAGCTTCGATTTTAAACGTAAACGACAAAGCGCAAAAAAGACGATTTCTTGCAATACACAACACACAAATTATCCACCCAGCAGCACGCGAGAATCTCATTTTGGCGCCGTCGCATAAAAACATTCGGCCTCTTACTGCAACTGCCAATATTCTGTTTCCAATCCAGTACTACTGTTATCTGTGACACTGGTAATCTTACATGTTTGTGTGTGTTCGGTTTTATCCTTCTATGGCTTTCCTTTGCTATTATTATTTCAATAGGTGTTTCTTGAGTTTTTAATGTATTGACATTACCCGACATATCAAATTCATGCTCTGTGCCCTTCTCTGTTGCCACCACACATTCCACGATCGATCGACTGCAGCTTATGAGCACTGAGCATGGACATGACGTCAAACGCGGCTGTGATTATTGGGTCGATGGACGGAGGGCCATCCGACAGTAGTGTTAGTGTGGAACAGCCGGGAGAGATGAGGGAACACCGGGCGAGGGGAGTGTCGAACGATCAATTTTGGATGATAGCAGCAGACAAAAAGTGCCACTGCCACTGCCGATGCCTCAAGTGTCAAGAATGAAATCGAAAATTGTGAAATTTAGAAGGAGCGCGGCAAGGTGAAATTGTGCAGACGGGACGCTAGAATGAGTGACTAGGCAGGAGGGGCTGGCTTATTAGCCGGCGTGGGAGCGTCTGGTGATTGTCGAGCTTACTTACCCACTCCTCATCGAGAGTATGCTAAAAACAGCTCGCCTGTTTTGAAAATGTGAACATTCGTGGTCAATATCGATTGTTTCAAATATCCCTCCTGGTTGCAAGTTTTAGTAACGAGAATTCACTTACAACAGAATAATGCGACCATCCGAATGAAGCACTACCGCATCTGGCTGGCTCCATTCGCTGATCGGGAAGTTCTCGTCGTTAATATGTTACCGCCCCCCGAGGGACTGGCATACACGTTCAGCTCGATTGGCACGATCATTTGAGCCTGCTTATATCCGCCACTGAACTAAACTGTCAAAACCGGCCCATCCCCGCCACTGGCGGCCAAAGCCGGCCCATCCCCGCCACTGGCCAGCGGCGCCTGACTGATGCCGATTGCGCTGGTTTCAGATCAGCGCCGCATGCCGTGAGCCTGTGGCGGGGATGGGAAGCGGCCGCAGCTCGAACACCACCCCAAGCCGTCCGCCGATCCACCGGGGAGCGATCCGGCACTCCCAGGCTGCGGCACCACCGGTCGCACAGACAGAGGAGCTCCCGGCCGGTCTGCTCGTCCGCCGACTGCCTGAGACCGCCTCTTGAGGGCTCCTTGTCGGCTGATGTGTCTCTACGCCACGGGCACCGGCACAAACAGAGCCTGAAGGCCGCCCAGAGGACAGAGCCGCTGCCGCTGCGTGCTCACCTGACTGGCGCTACTGCGCTCCCTCAGCCATTCGGTGGGAGTGAGACCGAACAGGACTGGTTGGAGGATGATCCATACTCCGACCCTGACCGCTATGTGCCGTCAATGGTGAAGGAAATAGCCCTGGCCGGCCGTCGAGGCTCAGAGTTGGTCGGTGCTAGTTTACCACTGCCATGGCTGCGGACATCGACTGAGGGTTCTGAGTCCCGCCTGGCGCTCCAGACCCGCGTGCGACGTAATCACGCTGAGGAGGTTTGCGAGCGGGAGCGGTTTGGCGCCCCGTGTGACGAGTCGGCCGGCCCGCCGCCCGTCCAGGACTCTAACGTTGTGATGGTGGGAGGTAGTGAGAGTGCCACCATCAGCGCTTTGCGCCGCTGCGGCAGACAGCTGCGCTTCAAGGTGCGAGACCTGGCCGCCATTCCGGCCGTACTGTACCGCTTCCGCGACCACAGCGCTCTCTATCAACTGTTAGTGTACGTGAGCAGCGACGGGGGCGCTGCGGTCGGCCGCCAGTTGCAGAAGACTCTGCGGGCTATGGCGGAGCTGTTTGGCGGTTACAGCCTGGTCTACCTGCCCGAGCCGGTGCCCTCGCAGCTGACTGCGCTGGCGTACGAGTTCTGTCAGCACGGCGCCGGCCCGTGCCGCTGGACGGACGACCTGACTCCGCTGCTGGCCGCCGCCAGTCGGCTGACGCGTAACGCTCAGCTCCTGAACGCCTATGACGCCGGGGTGAGCGGCGGCGGTGAAACGTGCAGCGTGCCATCGCCGGCCGACCCGGAGGCCAGTCACACCCTGCTGCAGCAGCTGGAGCAGCTGGCCGAGCTGTGGTGCCGCGGCCGCTGGCATACCGTGCTGGAGATCGTCCTGCCGTCCGACCGGCCGGCGCTGCAGCCCACGAAACCCCAGTCAGTCCCTGTCTGCAGCCCACGAAACCCCAGTCAGTCCCCGCCTGCAGCCCACGAAACCCCAGTCAGTCCCCGCCTGCAGCCCACGAATGACGAAACCCCAGTCAGTCCCCGCCTGCAGCCCACGAAACCCCAGTCAGTCCCCGCCTGCAGCCCACGAAACCCCAGTCAGTCCCCGCCTGCAGCCCACGAAACCCCAGTCAGTCCCCGCCTGCAGCCCAGGAAACCCCAGTCAGTCCCTGTCTGCAGCCCAGCAAACCCCAGTCAGTCCCTGTCTGCAGCCCATGAAACCCCAGTCAGTCCCCGCCTGCATTCACCAAAACCCCAGGCCCAGTCAGTCCCTGTCTGCAGCCCACGAAACCCCAGTTAGTCCCTGTCTGCAGCCCACGGAACCCCAGCCAGTTCCCAACTGCCTTCACCAAAAACCCAGTCAGTCCCCGCCTGCAGCCCACAAAACCCCAGTCAGTTCCCACCTGCCTGCACCAAAACTCCAGTCAATTCCCGTCTGCCTTCGCCAAAACCCCAGTATGTCGCTGTCTGCAGCCCACAAAACCTCAGTCAGTTCCCGCCTGCATGCACCAAAACCCCAGTCAGTTTCCGTACTCTGCTCTCCCAAGCCCTGTTTAGTTTTTTTTTTTAAATAAATTTAGTCCGAACCTTTTGATGGGAAGGATTCACAAGGACAGAGCCACCGCTAAGCGAAGCTTGTTGCGATGACCCTACCCTCTACCCTCCGATCGCGCAATTCCGATTCTATGGCAGAATTTAGAGTCCAAAGTTTAACGTGCGCACAAAGCCGCGCACGGCCGGTCCCCTCGCTGACTTCGCCTGGCTACGGCCTGCCACCAACCGCAACCATACCTGTCAGGAGGCCCATAAATGTCGAGCGCCCGTCGCGCTTCGAACCCGGACTGTTATAACCGGGAACGCGTGCTCTCACCACGCGGAGTCCAACGCTCTAACCAACTGAGCTACGGGACCGGCAGTTTAGCTGTAAACCCTCGTTAGCCCCCTTTGAACTTCATTCGATCTCTTTCGGCTCCCACCAAACATTTTTGACCATCACCAAACCTCTGTCGACCTTCCCTAAAGCCCCTCCGCCCTTCATGAACACCCAGTCAGCCGTTGCCAAACCCCTGTCTGCCCCATCAAACTTCTGCCAGTCCCTGCCAGTTGTCAAGCGAAGCCCGTGAGTTAAGCTGGTTCCGAAGCTTGTAGCCGCGCTTTTATTGCATTGTTTATTTTATTGCCTGCTCGGCTCGCTGAATGCTAGAGCTTGTCGTACTTTACGGTAATAATTTATGCTTACATATATACCCCGTCTCACATTCTGGCCTATCTTTAAAATGTCGATGCATATCCTCAGAAAGAAATATGTAACAATAGAGCCTCAACAGTAACTGTGTGGTAAGATATATCAAGCAAGTCCTTCATTAGGGCGAAAGCTAAGGGACGATTTTAAGTAGATAGGCTAGGTACCATAGTCTTAGTGCAGCCTGCAAGAGCCTTTAAAGGGACCCTCCCACCTTCAAAAAAGTTTATGAATTGGCATGAAAGTGATGTCGCTCGGTTCAGAAAGAGCGAAAACGAATATCTACCAAATTTCACCGAAAAATATTCACCGGTTTTCAAGATATTAGACTTTTACTTTTGTTTACTTTTTGGGATCTCCGCTGTTCCTAGCGACTTTATTTGGAAGCAATTGTTTGGCAGCTGAAAGTGCGGCACTTGTTGCGCGCAAAGCAGCATATACCACCGCGTGCTACAAAACGTTTTAGTCAAACAATTAAAAATAGTTAGATATCTGCGCTGACGTCACACATTCAGAGGGGTATTCCTATGCATTAGCCCCTCTGAATGAAAATGCTGCAATTTTGAAATTCAATATTTCCGATTTAAGGCATTTCTCGATGTTGTGAGTGCCGAAACCGGTAATTTTGAGCCAGGGACCCCATTTTGGCTATCTCAACTCAAATCTAATGTTAAGGTGGGAGGGTCCCTTTAAAGGTCATCAATTCCTATTTATAATGTAGCAGCCACACAGTGTTCCTTTATCTTTTGTCGTTCGCGGACTTTCTGACCGGCCGCTCGTCTTCCAATTTGCTGTGCCCGTGGTTCTGTTCTTTGTAATTCTGCAACAATGGCGTCTCCCGGATTACGGGCAGTCTGCTGATCAGCGCTTATTCGACAGAGCAGAATTTAAAGCCGGCCGTAATGCAATTGGTGACCACGGGTGGAAACCTGGCCTCATCAGAGAGTGGGGCAGGGACTGGGGGATTCTGTCCCGTCAGACTTTTCCAGCCAGGCAGCAGTCGGAATAGGGAACTGGGTCTCGTTTCATAAAGCGAGTCCGTAACTTACGCCGGTTTTTGGGCTTGTATTGCAAGCGCATGTGAAGCGATAAATTTATTTCCCCTTCTCCCTTCTGTTCTTGCTTGCAAGATAAATAAATTTGAGTATTCAAACTATCGTCATCGCTTCACATGCACTTGTAATACAAGCCCCAAAACCGGCGTAAGTTACGGACTCGCTTTATGATACGAGGCCCTGGTCACGCTGTCCAATGGATGCCCGGCAGCGCGAGAACACGGTGGGAGCACCGGGACTGACAAAGGTTTGGTGAGGATAGCCGCCCTATGCAGTTACAGGGAAGGTCACCTTTTACCCGGGCAGCCATGGGGGGTTGGGGTTTGGTGGTTTATTTTGGGTTTGGGTGTTTGTTGGTTTGGGATAAGTGATGCAATATGAATTCATCATGTCTGATTGCTTGATTTCAGAGGCAAGTCTTCCAACAGTCTGGGTATTTCGGACATCTTGCCTCTCAATATGAAGCTTTACGACAAGAACCAGCCACCCAAGTACCGCGGGGAGCCGACCACTGTCTATTTCCATGTCACCGTCATCAGCTTGGATTCCATCAATGAAGAGTCAATGGTAAGAGAACGCGGAATGTCAGATTTAACAATTCAAATAAAGTGGAAGCTTTTTTTGCTAGAAGTGGAATTGGCGAGGTCGAAACGGTGCATTTTGAGCTGTGTGCGTCTAGAGTTTTTAACCATTACCTATTTAGGAAAAATATGTCGATAAGTTGCCAATTTCCGAAGGCCTCTTCTTGCATTGATTATATTTCCGGATAATTTCCCTCATTTTGTAAACCAAAATCGTTAAAAAGAAAATACGGTGAAATTTTTACTAGCCGCTGCTTTAGATGCATGTCAAACTATTTCGTCTCTAGAGAGCGAAACGCAAAATCACTTCAGGAGGATAAAAGATACATCATTTGTAGGTATAGTAAATGTCACAAGCTCACTATTCTGAATGCGTGCCATTACGGATTGAGACTTTCTGGGGCGTGCTCGTACTCTTATGGCCGGTCAAGTTTTGATATTCTATATTAAAGTCGCCATTCTGATGAAAGCGGCGGCTTTGGGCCGTGCCGGTGGGTTGCGCCAATCTGAAAGATCCTAAAGACGGCCGCGGCAGGGCAAGAGCTCGACGAGCGCCGCGTAGCCGGCTGAATCGATGCGTCGCCGGAGCGGCAGCGACTCTGAAGGGTGCTTGACGGCTGCTGAATCCGGCGGCGGACACGACGAGCTCTGATTCAGACTCGCTGAGGAGGTGCTCCAGTGGTGCTCCTCGGCCCGATCGGCCCCGTGATTAGACCGCGCTGCACGGCCGACGGCACAGACCGCCGCCGCCGCCGCAGCGCCCGCCGACCGACCGACCCCGAGCGGCCACCGACAGACCGGAGCGCTCGACGGAGCGGCTGCACGCGAATTATAATTGTTATGCTATACTGAAATAAGTCTTATTGTGTATCACTTTCTTATTGTCATTTGTATTTTGTAACAGCAAAATTACCGCTTATTGAGCAAAGTCGCACGTTTCCGTCGCATTAGTCCCGTCAGCGGGCACGCGCTTTGCGGCACAGCATATATGCAGGGCCTGCAGTTTCACTAACTGCCACTAGATGGCAGCAGCCAAACGCCTGCAGTCATGCTGTGCCGCAATGCTCAGTAGTTTCTTTAGCTGCCACTAGATGGCAGCAGCAAAACGCCTGCAGTCATGCTGTGCCGCAATGCTCAGTAGTTTCTTTAGCTGCCACTAGATGGCAGCAGCAAAACGCCTGCAGTCATGCTGTGCCGCAATGCGCAGCAGTTTCCCTAGCTGCCACTAAATGGCAGAAGCAAAACGCCTGCAGTCATACCTACTGTGCCGCAATGCGCAGTAGTTTCACTAGCTGCTAGCAGCAAAACGCCTGCAGTCTGTCGCCAGATGGCAAAGCTCAGGCAAAGCTTCTTGGGGATCATTGCGGCACAGCATAACTGCAGGCGTTTTGCTGCTGCCATCTAGTGGCAGCTAGTATAACTACTGTGCATTGCGGCACAGCATGACTGCAGGCGTTTTGCTACTGCCATCCAGTGGCAGCTAGTGAAACTGCTGCGCATAGCGGCACAGCATGACTGCAGGCGGTTTGCTCCTGCCATCTAGCGGCAGCTAGTAAAACTTCTGAGCATTGCGGCACAGCATCACAGCAGGCGTTTTGCTCCTGTCATCTAGTGGCAGTTAGTGAAACTACTTAGCGTTGCGGCACAGCATGGCTGCAGGCGTTTTGCTACTGCCATCTAGTGGCAGCTGGTGAAGTTACTGGTCATTGCGGCACAGTATCACCGCATATACCTAGGCGTTGATAAAGCTGTATGGTGATGGTGCTAAGTCTCACATGTGTTTCGTTTGTTTCGGCCGGGCTATTTACGGATTTGCGACCGAAAAATAGTCGACTTTACTGTTTTTTTTTCTAATCGGCACTGAAATAATGACTAGTATTGTATTGTCATTTGTCTTCCCGGTCTCCTGCGTACAGCCATAACACAGCCGGAACGCAACTTCCTGGAACACATCCCACAGTATAACTTCTACATGACATACCTACCACGACAGCCACTACCCACACTGATTATATTGCCTCGGGCTGCGGCAGACGTACGTGGCGGACGTGTTTCTGGCGCAGAGCTGGCGCGACCACCGGCTCCGACTGCCCGAGAACATGACCGAAGAGTACCGCATCCTCGACGTCAACTGGCTGCTCAACATCTGGCGGCCAGACTGCATCTTCAAGAACGCCAAGAAGGTCACCTTTCACGAGATGTCGGTGCCCAATCACTACCTCTGGCTGTACAAGGACAAGACGCTACTCTACATGAGCAAGTGAGTTGGATAAAGGAAGGAGGACTGTCGCCGCTTGTAGTACCCCTCTCACTGTCGCAGTAGTTTACGCAACGCAGTAGTTTACGTCTACGCACGTAACGACATTACCTTTTTAGTTTTTGGATCTTCGAACAGTTTGTGATTTATCTCCGCAAAACCCGGCTCCTGTTCTAGTCCCATTCTTCTTAAATTGCTTTAAATCGTCTTTAAAGGACCAATAGTCTGACTCGTGGCCGGCATATTCTGCGATCATAGTTTTCACGCATGTTGAGACTTGAGTGTCAGCATTTCGTCTTCCTGTTCAATTACTTATCGACATTATCTAACAATAATTGTCCTTTTTGCAGATTAACTTTGGTTCTGTCTTGCGCTATGAAGTTTGAAGCATATCCACACGACACTCAATCGTGTTCAATGATGATCGAGAGCTGTGAGTATTCGTTTTCTGTCAGCCAGTGCCTATGTGTCAGCCAATCTGGTGTGCTCAAATGTTTACTCAGTTACCCAAAACCTCGGTGAAATTTTACAGTGAATCAAAAGTGAAATTTGGATATCATATATCACTAGAGGGACAGCATTACGCGCAGCGTAAAGAGGGACAGCATTACGTGCAGCGTAATAAATCAAGTTTCAATAAAATCGGCCAAGTAGCGGCCGAGTTATGGCCAGAATAAATTTGGCGTCTCCTCCTGGCCGGCGGTGCTCTGTTTCGGTATTCATTGCCAAAGGTCAACGACCTCCGACTCTGTTTTCCCTCATTTTCGCAGCGAACAATCTGAGCCTAGGGCGCGTGCTCTCTGATCGGCGCCGGCCGCGGCCAAAATTCCGCAAAGATGCGCCCGCCACGTGCAAACCGGCGAGCGCACCCCCACCAAAATTTAATACGACAAACAGATGCACGCGTCCGACTTTAGTCCAAAATTCCACCCCCGTAGCCCGCACCGTTCCGGAGCAATAGCCCTTAAAGCGTGACTGACGCGTTTCATACATACATTTTGATTTTTATATATGTAAACTAGAGGGACAGCATTACGCGCAGCGTAATAAGTCATTTTCAATAAAATCGGCCTAGTAGCGGCCGAGTTATGGCCAGAATAAATTTGGCGTCTCCTCCTGGCCGGCGGTGCTCTGTTCCGGTATTCATTGCCAAAGGTCAGTGACCTTCCGGCTCTGATTTCGCTCAGTTTGGCAAGCGAAGAAACTGAGCCTAAGGCGCGTGCTCTCTGCTCGAAGCCGGCCGCGGCCAAAATCCCGCAAAGATGCGCCCGCCACGTGCAAACCACCGAACCCACCCCCACCAAAATTTAACACGACAAACAGATGCACGCGTCCGACTTATGTCCAAAATTTCACCCCCGCAGCCCGCACCGTTCCGGAGCAATAGCCCGCCAAGCGTGACTGACGCGTTACATACATACATACATACATACATACGTACAGACGTTTTGATTTTTATATATGTAACTAGAGGGACAGCATTACGCGCAGCGTAAAGAGGGACAGCATTACGTGCAGCGTAATAAATCAATTTTCGTTAAAATCGGCCCAGTAGCGGCCGAGTTATGGCTAGAATAAATCTGGCGTCTCCTCCTGGCCGGCGGTGCTCTGTTCCGGTATTCATTGCCAAAGGTCAGTGACCTTCCGGCTCTGATTTCGCTCAGTTTTGCAAGCGAAGAAACTGAGGCTAATGCGCGTGCTCTCTGATCGGCGACGGCCGCGGCCCAAAATCCCGCAAAGATGCGCCCGCCACGTGCACACCGCTGCACGCACCCCCTCAAAAAGTTGATACGACAAACAGATGCACGCGTCCGACTTACGTTCAAAATTTCACCCCCGTAGCCCGCACCGTTCCGGAGCAATAGCCCGCCAAGCGTGACTGACGCGTCACATACATACATACATACGGGCATTTTGATTTTTATATATGTAAACTAGAGGGACAGCATTACGCGCAGCGTAAAGAGGGACAGCATTACGTGCAGCGTAATAAATCAAGTTTCAATAAAATCGGCCCAGTAGCGGCCGAGTTATGGCCAGAATAAATTGGGCGTCTCCTCCTGGCCGGCGGTGCCCTGTTCCGGTATTCATTGCCAAAGGTCAACGACCTCCGACTCTGTTTTCCCTCAGTTTTGCAAGCGAAGAAACTGAGTCTAAGGCGCGTGCCGTCTGCTCGGCGCCGGCCGCGGCCCAAAATGCTGCAAAGATGCGCCCGCCACGTGCAAACCGGCGAGCGCACCCCCACCAAAATTTAATACGACAAACAGATGCACGCGTCCGACTTGCGTCGAAAATTTCACCCCCGTAGCCCGCACCGTTCCAGAGCAATAGCCCGCCAAGCGTGACTGACGCGTTACATACATACATACGGACATTTTGATTTTTATATATGTAAACTAGAGGGACAGCATTACGCGCAGCGTAAAGAGGGACAGCATTACGTGCAGCGTAATAAATCAATTTTCATTAAAATCGGCCAAGTATAGAGGGACAGCATTACGCGCAGCGTAATAAGTCAATTTTCAATAAAATCGGCCCAGTAGCGGCCGAGTTATGGCCAGAATAAATTTGGCGTCTCCTCCTGGCCGGCGGTGCCCTGTTCCGGTATTCATTGCCAAAGGTCAGTGACCTGTCGGCTCTGATTTCGCTCAGTTTTGAAAGCGAGGAAACTGAACCAACGGCGCGTGCTCTCTGATCGGCGCCGGCCGCGGCCAAAATGCGGCAAAGATGCGCCCGCCACGTGCAAACCGGCGAGTGCACCCCCACCAAAATTTAATACGACAAACAGATGCACGCGTCTGACTTATGTCCAAAATTTCACCCCCGCTGCCCGCACCGTTCCGGAGCAATAGCCCGCCAAGCGTGACTGACGCGTTACGTACAGACATTTTGATTTTTATATATGTAACTAGGTGCCGAGCATTACGCGCAGCGTAATAAATCAAGTTTCATTGCAATCGGCCCAGTAGCGGCCGAGTTATGGCCAGAATAAATTTGGCGTCTCCTCCTGGCCGGCGGTGCTCTGTTCCGGTATTCATTGCCAAAGGTCAACGACCTCCGACTCTGTTTTCCCTCATTTTCGCAGCGAACAATCTGAGCCTAAGGCGCGTGCCGTCTGCTCGAAACCGGCCGCGGCCCAAAATCCCGCAAAGATTCGCCCGCCACGTGCAAACCACCGAACCCACCCCCACCAAAATTTAATACAACAAACAGATGCACGCGTCCGACTCGGCGCAAAAATTTCACCCCCGTAGCCCGCACCGTTCCGGAGCAATAGCCCGCCAAGCGTGACTGACGCGTTACATACATACATACATACATACATACATACGTACAGACGTTTTGATTTTTATATATGTAAATTTAGAACTAATGGTCATCTTAAGTTGCTAAAAAGTACTCGTATTTCTTACGGACGTGAGCCAGTCCCTTCGATCAATACTTTGTTCTGCTTTACTGTGGCGTAGTTTTTGTCCGGGTGCATAAAATAGACACACTTTTCCTCCCACAAATAGACGCTCTTTGTAGCGACACAAGTTACTTTAACCTCAAAGCTGGGCAGAGTCTTTGGCAAACCTGGCGGCCTCGTTATTTCGTGCCGCCGTTGGGAGCTCAGTAATTTTCGTGGCCATTGTTTGGGGCCACTCCAGAATGTTTCCGGGGGCGGCTCGTTGCCCCGGGCCCGACCAGGCCCTGTCGGCCGGGACCGGCTCGAGCTGATCGTGCTCAAGTGGCGCTCCAGCCGGCGGGCTCGGGATCAGAGAGACCTGAGCGCAGCCCGCGGCGACCGTCCGCCGCGCCAGCAGCCGCTCAGCTCAGAACGGCCGCTTTCCGAGACCGGAATAAGTCCCGGCCTCAGCGAACCACGTTTCCATTTTTAATTTAGGCTGTTTCAGATTCAGGCTGCCTTTAGCTTTATATTGTCAGCAGATTCACATTGCCGGCAATGAAAGCTGTTTCATTAGGTTTTAGTATTATTAGCTGTGCTAATTTACGCATGTTGTCTGTACATTATAGGCAGTTGGTAGGGTAGACCGGGGCAAGTCGCCCCGCCGAGGTAAAACGCCTCACCGATGTTTCTCGGAACTGGCAAGGTTCTGGGGAAACATCCTCTCTTCTATAAAACGTGCACTATACGATCATTATATGAGCAGACTGTAAATAAATTGTGATGACTCTTTAGGGAGATATAGCCAAAAATGTGTTTTTGGAGTGATTTTTATGTTTTGCTGTCAGATTATGCATCATGGCGTTCTTTTATCGTCCACATCAAGTTAACGACTTTTATGTATTTTGAACAACTATTGTCTAACGCTTATAATGCCGGGTTGGTTCGTGTTAAATTATGTCTTCCTGGAGTGCAAGGCGTTGTTCTCTGACCGAACTACGTGATGGGGTAAAACGCCCCAGTAGGTCGCGGGGCAAAAAGCCCCATGGGGCGTTTTACCTCATGTGTTGTTCGGACTACCCACTTCCTAATGTTCGGTAGCTGGCGAACGGTATGTTTCTATGCATTTATATGTACTTTTCTCAGCAACTGGATGGCAAAGGAAATATTTTGTTAACATTTGCATTGCAATAATTTATTATTTGGCCTTATGAGGCAGGTGAAAAACCTGCTCATACAATAGTGTCGTAGCTGAACACCTGATAGGATGGAAGGTGCTAACTTCAGTGCCATGCCTCCCAACGTCTAACGGACCTTTCATATAAGATTTAGTCAACTAGCATGTTTAATCTTTAATCTAGAGTATGGGGCTTCTTGCCCCAGGCCGTGGGGCGTTTTGCCCTGGGGTTGGGGCAAAACGCCCTATTTGCAGTTGCTTCACAAACCACTTCCTAGCTGGGAGTCCGATCATAAGTGAATGAATTTGAGGGGTGGAATTTAAAGTAAAATGTCCAAAGAACGCATTGAGCACAAATTTGGCCATCCAGGATATGTGGGACAAAAATTAGGTAGCAAAATAAATTATCTGGGGCGTCTTGCCCCAGGCTACCCTACTTGAGAACAATTTATTTCATTTATATTTCATACTTTTGGCAATGAAAACACAATAAGGTTCTTTTGGATGTTTCAGTATCGCACACTACTTACGACTTGATTTTCAAATGGAATCTGACCGATCCGCTGATGGTGAACCCCGAGATCGAGCTGCCACAGTTGGACATTTCCAAAAACAGCACCGAAGACTGTACTCTGGCGTACTCTACCGGTAAGAGAAAACAGCACCAAAGATAAAACCCTGGCGTACTCCAATGTTAAGCAAAAACATCACCGAAGACTTTATCTTGGCGTACTCCATTGGTAAAAATAACACGTTTAACTGTATACTACAGTCCCTGACGCATTCGTATTTCAGCTGATTAGTCGAAATGCACGAGAAATCAGAGCTTTGCGTGGGATATAATTGACCTTATTATCGATGCTTTGGTACTGGAGGCAATGTAAGGAGATGAGGATATTCATGATAGCTTAAACGTTTCGACTTCTTGTAGCCGATGATTGTTAATGTCAAAACGAACGGACACATCGTCGTCAAAACTTCTTACATATCCCTTGCTAAGTGCCTAATTTTGGACTGAAATTGAAATAAAACGTAGCAATTTCGTAGCGCATTCCAGTCTCGCGTCTTCAGGGAAAGTCGCTTCATCTGTGTGGTAATTTTCCTCAGAAGCTATACACAATGAAACATGCATGGTTGTTTTTCCCAGGTAACTTCACTTGTCTGGCCGTGGTATTCCATCTCCGTCGCCGCCTGGGCTACCACCTTTTCCACACGTACATACCGTCGGCGCTGATTGTCGTCATGTCCTGGATCTCGTTCTGGATTAAACCGGAGGCGATTCCGGCCCGAGTTACTCTCGGTGTCACTTCATTGCTCACACTCGGTAAGTTGGAGAGTGAGTGAGTGAGTGAGTGAGTGAGTGAGTGAGTGAGCGAGTGAGCGGGTGAGTGAGTGAGCGAGTCAGTCAGTCAGTCAGTCAGTCAGTCAGTCAGTCAGTCAGTCAGTCAGTCAGTCAGTCAGTCAGTCAGTCAGTCAGTCAGTCAGTCAGTCAGTCAGTCAGTAAGTGGGTGTATGTCGTGTAAACGAGTGCTAGTTACAAAATGATTATTCGCGCTGGCTTGCACGTATGTGGTTATGTTTGATGTAATGACACCATTATTACGGCAGTCGTGTATCGACTCTCCATTACGGCCCGAGTCTGAAGACCACCGTCAATATGGGGCTATAAAACAATCCGCTTAACAGACGGTGTCACGAAGAGCGGTGATTGCCTGCGTTATGGTGACCCATTTCGTGCCGACTGCCGAGTTATTCGTGTATGCCTAGTGTAACTGTATGTGTTTTGGCAGCCACGCAGAACCAGCAGTCGCAGCAGTCGCTGCCGCCTGTCTCCTACGTCAAGGCCATCGACGTCTGGATGTCGTCCTGCTCCGTGTTCGTGTTCTCGTCGCTGATGGAATTCGCCATCGTTAACAACTTCATGGGCCCGGTGGCCACCAAGGCCATGAAAGGCTACTCAGACGAGGACCTCACCAACATCGACGACAAATCATTGGTGAGCCGAGCCATGCACTTACATATGGTCATAAGAGGCATCGATATTTGATGCCACGTACAAACAACAACTAAAGAAGAAAGGCTCCGACATTACATTCAGTGCTTTACGAGATTAAAGCATACTACAGTGAAAGTTTCAGTTAAGCACAGATGTTTCCACATACTTTGATGTTAATAACGCTGCCATAGCACCATACCAAGCCCTTACCACATTTTGCGGCCGTGCCTGTAATGTTGTCGGTGCGGTCGCGCTGCTTCCTGGCCCAATATTGCGTCCGTCATAGAGTTACGGCGGTGCTTACGGCGCTCAGCTGCTGGCTGAGTGCTGTCGCTGAGTGGCACGGCGAGGACGGCAGACAGCGGGCCCCGGGTGTGTCCCTGGGGACGGCGTCGGCCGCCCCCGTACAGTCGCCATGGGCCGGCCAGTGGACGAGGGAGAAACACAGCCACAGCTTCTGTCATAACCTTTTGACGGATAACTGAAATGGACTCTTTGCTTTATCTATTTTCTTCAAAGAGCTGCCATCCACAAGGCTATTTTGTTCGTCTCTTCTTACAGTAACTACATACATCCGTGCGAAGTTTGTCGCCTTTAAATCATTAACTGTGTGCAGCTCAAGCTATAAAACTGGTATCCCACATTCAAAGCAAAAACTGCGATATGCCCCTCATTCACAAGCACTCACATACACTAACGCAGATATTGGCTTCGGGTATGGATCTTCCGCAATACTCTTACGTAACCCACGATTAGTTGGCTGAAACGGTGCGGACCTGAGAAGTCATGTTCATTCTTCAATGTCGGACTGCAAACTGGTTCATCCGGTGTGGAGCTAGTTCGCTGCTCGCTGCCGGGTCAAAGCTCGTCGCGCCGACCTGGCACGGTCGCCGAGCTATGGATTGACTCTCCAGCCCCCCCCCCATCCCCGCGAGCCGACCTCTGTTCGTTAGGCAGCTCCGAGCGGGCACTTCTGGTCGGCCGTCCCTGAATAAGAACGCAATAATCAGATTAGATGAGGACTTCAGTCCGCTTGAAAAGCCGCTCGGAACAAAAACCTTCAGTCAGAAACTTGATTTTAGAAGTTAATTGATTAGAAGTCGAACTTCTGAAAAGTGTACTGCTATTCGTAGGAAGGAAATGGCATAAAGCAGCCATTCCCATGAAACTTTTAGAAACTACCGGCTTCTTGACTTCCCCGATATATAAATGTGAGTTATTTCATATAAAGATAATAGTCACTTAGCTTCGCTGCTTTTTATTCCATTCGTTTCAATTACATTTTGCTTGAAAGCTATTTTTGGAGATACATCTACTTCCTGAGCCTCAAGTTTTCAAGTTTTCGACAGATCACCCAGCGGCCAGCACCACAAGATAGGGACTTTAATATTGTTGTTCGCAAGTAAATATTGGAAGGGAAAATAAACCAAGTTGGATGCGTTTATTGATCTGAGAAGACCCAGTCGAAGCAATGCCTGCTGTTCAATAGGCTGAGCGGAAGTCTGTACCTACTGAAAAAACTCCGGCGGATAAGTTTGCGGTAATTGACTTGAGAGATTTAGCCGACAGACAGTATAACAGTACCCGGATATCTTTGTATGTGGGAGTGTTCGTAAGTTAGTTATGTCTGTAATGTTGCACGTTGACGGTTTGTCCCCTCGCGCGGCAGCGCTCCTCCGTGGGCCGGTCGCGGCGACTGTTCAGCGGGGGTCCGGCCCGCACCCCGCCGCTGCAGCCGCAGTATGTCACCTTCTGCCACGGCCGTGAGGTGGCCCTCTATATTGATAAGGTCAGTGAGCGTCCTATCCTGAATGTTTGTCAATGGTAAGCGGCCGCGATGTGACCATTTACATGGACAAGGTTAGTGGTTATCATGTTTGAACACATTTTATTTAGAAGACTGTCAATGAGCGAAACACATATGTAATTATTTGTTTTCGGATTGACTGTGAAAGTCATTACAAAGCACTAAAGCAATTTGACGAAATCTAAGTCAAAGTTCGCCGTTTAAAAGAACCTTTGTCACTCCATTTAAAAGTAAGATTACTTTTCAGCGCTTATATTTTAACTTACTTATTTCAGACCCTAAAACTAGCTGAAAAACGTAAATGCTGTACGGCATATTTTCAGACGTTTCCCGGACCTTACTGGCGGCTAAATCAGGACATCTCATTTAGGCGAGGAGGGAAACGACTTCCAATGCTTTATAGATCAGGTTTATTAGAAGGCGGTGTCATTGTGACTACCGCTCTCGATCACCCACCTTCCACCTCTCATCACCAACCCCTTTTCCGTAAAACAGGTATTGACTGCGGTATACTTTCGTCGCGTAGGTTTGCGTTCGAGTTATCTCACTGCCCTCTTATCCCTCCTCGACCCGAATGCGTCTCACCACCGCTCGCCGTCCGTGTGTTCGCAGCTGTCCCGTTACTGCTTTCCGCTGGCGTTCGTCATACTAAACGTGGTCTACTGGACCTGCTATGTCGACTGGGAGGAGCTGAGTCAGGCGTGAGCAGCACCTGCTCCATGGAGCGCAGGTGAACTGGCTGCTCTGTTTCTGACAGGCCAGGCCATTTTGTCCAATGTCCATGCTGCGAGTCGGTGGCGACCGGAGAGCTCCTGATTTGTGTGTGGAGAGGAAACTAGATCTGCCGGTTCTTGGAGCCGCCTATCTTATGTGTGCGGACCAGGAGTGGGTCCAGCGGGCCGCCCAGTGTCGCGATACCGACTGCAATGTGTTCATTGACTGTAAAAACTGTACATACTGTACCATAGTGATCAGCGCCTGTAACGCTGACAACACGGCCGTGACTCTACTGAATGTTACGACTTACGAGCCATGGCGAGAACATAAATGTAGTCGTATTAATTGAAATATGTCCCGTTCAAATAGCTCTTGCGCTTTGCTTGTCCCTTGTGCCGGTGCCATTTTTTATATAAATAAAACACAAGCGTGTCAAACAGTTTTTTTTTTATTATCCTACGACTGGCGATGATTCGACTCGTATATTCCTAAAGTAATGCCTGCACACAACTACCATACACTATTTGTTAAAGCACTGAGGGAGTGCTCACGGAGACGGAATGCTCTGAAAGTCGCTAGCCATTTAGAAGGCATGCTATGACAGCGCACAGGTCTGGTCGCCGGCGCCCCGAACCGCACCTAACCCCCAACGCGGCACCATTCGACTGAACGACTTACTCAAACGAGATGTATATGTAAGTACGGTGCACTCGCGACTCGCGATATCGGCGATCGAGCGCGACCCCAAAGTTCGTCTCTTACACTACGCTGGTGACGATTGCACCTTGAGCCGAACCGAGTACGCTCGCTGTGAGTCGTCCGGCTCTCTCCGCGCGGCACGGCCGGCCCGCCGTCCGCCGCTCCGGCTGCTGAAGTTGCCGTTGCCGTTGCCGTCTACAGGTTATCCACGTTGACGAGCCAGTAGGTGACGTTGAGCATGAGGAAGGTGGCTGGGAACAGTACGCGCGACACGCGGTCCACTATGATGGCGCGCCGTCGGTTCACCTGCTGTTTGGACAGGCCCGGCGGCTTGGGCGGCCGACCGGTCAGCATGCGTGCATTCTCCTGAGGAGGGGAGGAGTTGTCAGCGAATGGGCGCTCTCTGAAGGAGGCTAGAGAAAAATTAACGACACAATCTGAGCATTGGTCATACCACTGGTTCATATCGCAAACTTTATCAGAGGCTCTCGATTCTTTCTTCAAGAAAGAACAGAGTTCCGGTTTCGTGACTCTCGATTCGTTCTGGTCACGTGTTGGCCACCGACCCAGCCTACCAATGCCAGCTCTTTTTTTCTAAATTTTCGGCAGCGCGTTTGTTATTCTATTTGATGTCACGGCTCCGCCAGACGCCGCTTTTGTGTACGTTCTCTGTGCGGTACGTGCACGGTGACCGGGAAAAGGTCGCCAAAAGGAGAGCCACGTTCGGCGCTAATCCAATACAGTGTGAGAAAGGTGACGCGCTGTAATTCAGTTACTGATGGACGGCGAGACGTGACATGATACACCCACGTCTAACATAGAAATGGAGCAGCTAAATGTGGTCTTAGTGGCTCAAAAAAACACTTCGTAAAACCAGTTCCGCACGCGACTGAAACGAATGTAAAACGACACCAAGCTGTTTTTAGGGGTGACAAGTCCTCCAATGCAAACGTGTACAATTGTTATAGCGTGATGAAGGTAAATTATCACGAGGTGATAATTATTGAATTCCAGTTCAGTAAGAACGTACCCGAGCGGCCAGGTGGTAGATTTTGTCGGGCCTGGGCGGCTCGCCGGCGCTGGTACCCGGCCCGCCCGCGCCCGGCTTGGACGGCGGCTCGGGACTGTCTCCGAGCACAATATTCACCAGAGCGTATTCCATCAGCGCCAGGAACACGAACCTGCCGACAGGACGGCACGGGACAATCACAGGTGTGGGAGACACGCAGCCGGCGGGGTTCGTCACAAAAGTGAGACATTAGGTTAGGGCTAACACAGCACGGCGGTAGCATCGTGCATGTACCGTCATGGACAGACAGCAGCTACAACTTTAAATAGGAATAAGCCGTTCTCATTTGACATGCCGGCACGTCTACAATAAGGCACGGATGGAAAAGCTGCTGCGCTCTCCTGTCCGTTCCTGAGGCCATTGACACGTTTCTCATGCCACGGTCACGTTCCTCAGACCGGCTGAATCCTCCTTAGGACCGATCCGCCGCCTCCACTTTCTATTCGTAGCGAAGAATTTCCAATGGGGATAACAATACCTTCTTTTAAAAACTTCCTATGCAAAAAAAATCGAATATTTACCGACACCTACCACCCTTCCCCTGCCCACTCACACTTTTATCTCCTCAGTTTACCTCCACCGCCCTTCCTCTGACCCTGTCACACTGTACCCCCCTCTTCTGTCCACTCCCTATCTCCTTTCTCGGCCCAATTCCAACGCCCTTCCTCTGTCCCACTCACACTGTGCAGGCGTTCATGAAGCTGTCGATGGACTTGACGTACGAGACGGGCGGCAGGGCCGACTGCGACTTGGCGTGCTGCGTGGAGAGGGTCAGCAGCGAGGTGACGCCGAGGGTCACACGCGCCGGAGCCGCCTCCGGTTTGATCCAGAATGAGATCCACTGGCGGAGCAGAGCGGCACACTCAGTCAGCGCTGGTGGTGGTGACACGGGGCTCATGGGCACATAGCTCATACTGACAGTCGCCAGACGCTTACCCCGGGAGCATGACGAAAGTAAATGTGCATGAAAAAAAGGACTTACGGTCGATGTTCAACGCAAAATCCGCTTATAATGATTCTTGGCAGTGTATTTGCGTTTAATGGCGCTAGTAAACAAATAAGATAAATAAAGATAAAACAAATTAAAGCTCGTCATGAAAAAATGTCAATAAACCAGTAAAAAATCTGCTAACGCGACCCCAACTGGTGCATGCGGCTACGTCGATCCTCTCTGACTCATTGACCTGTCATAACTGAGACAGGTTCCCGATAAAGCTCCGTGGTGACGTTCGACCGAAGCTCTACAAAATGCTTCGGCGCCCAACATTGAGTCACATCAGCTGCTAACTGAAACTGCGCCCTTGGAAATATGCAGTTCAGTGCTACGAGCGGTTTTTGATTATTTGTTTTTTTACGATCTAAATAAGCCGACCTAATGGTTTCATTCTCTTCGTATCACAGTAGCCATGCCACGCAGCGCTATATATAGACGCCTAATGTCTAATCCTGATCAACACAGCATTCCTCGCCGAGCCTTTTCCGGCTGGTCGCACGCCGTTATTAAAAACTGCCCCGCGCTGTGGCCGGCGGTCGGCTCGGCGCGCTGCCGCACCAGCACAGTTCACCTGATGACGCTGCCGTCCGGCGCGCGCTAATCCGCACCAGTGCGCCATCAGCGCCGCATTACGGGCCGCGCGCCACAATGGCGCCGACAATACCGACAGTCTAATGGGCGGCGCCGCCGACGCCAGCACAATGGCAGATCAGCGCGGCGGAGCAGGTACCCGGGCCGGGACGGATCGGGCCCGCTAGGCCCCTCTGGCCCCGCTCTCAGCTCCTCAGCGGCTCTGCTCGTCTCTCGTCTTCTCCTCTGCTTTGGTCGGCTCCTCTCCCTTGGACTTCTCCGAACACCCAGTGATAAACCCCAAATGGATGTGATGCAGAAGATATACCTGTCTCTGGGACCAAGAGAGGAGAAAGCAGCACATTTGTCATTTATTGTGGCTATCCCAGCGAGATAAGAAGGCACGGGATGGATCGTCCTCTCGTGTACTACCCCACCATTGTAGCCACACATTATCATTTGACTTACGGGTGACAAAACGTGCGTCGTGTAGTCCATGGTTGCAACAATACACTGACACTTCAGCGAATCTGACTATTGCAACGAACGCCTTGCAACTGGTAACTGACATCGAGCTCATGAAATTTTCAGCTGAGCCATTGCCCTGTCGAATGCACGACTTGCCACTCTCCAAATACATAGGTGCCCTTCAGAGTGCAATTCCTAAGCGTTCGTGGCGCTGAACATCCGTGCCATTTTGCAGGAAGTTTAACGCATTCAGTTTTCGACCAGAAAAGATATGATAGTAAAAAACACCATTTGCATGGTGTGTGACAAAATAGACAATCCGATACACAATGAGACAGCTTGATTATATTAATAACTAATTTTCACTTCAAGTTGAGGGATTGTCTGAATCGATAATCACTTTGCACTGGTACTCATAAAGATAATTAGGTACTCATGATATTGGTACGTTAACTGTTTAAAACACATGTAAAATGAAATTCATATGAAAATTAAATAAACGAAAACGTAAAATTGTGTGGCATTTCGATTTAGTCTGCAGTAAATTGGCTTTCAAAGGTCTTTGCATTATATAAACACCGACAGAGTTTCGGTCTACGTTTGACGAAAGTAAACCACAATCATGGTGTCGAGTCTTTCAGCGAAATAGCCTCGGAGCCAACACCCAATGAAACTTCATCGGGACCAAAATAGCGGTGACCTTTAGTTGGAGCTCCCCCGCCCTCAAACACAAATTATACTTCTTTATTCCAGAGCACTATAGCTCAATAGGATTTTAATAGTCGCATTTATCAACCTTTTCATGGTAAGAACAGAATGTAGCAAATAAAACAATATAGAAAAAAGGCGATGAAAGTTATATTTAAAGAAATGCACAATGCATGTACGTAAATGCACGCAAATTCACCCTTTTCAGACTCACCGACATAATGACGATCAAGCAGGTCGGGATGTAGGTGTGAAACAAGTAGTAACCGAGACGCCGTTTAAACTTGAAAACCACTTCCAGACAGGTAAAGTTTCCTGCAACGGGAGAACGGCTGTTATGAAATTGATAATTAGACAGGAAAAGGCGATGTCAGATCCTGTATCTATGAAGTCTAACTATTTCAGCTCTCTGATATCAGCACTTTCGTATAAGTAAGCATTGATTACAAAAGATGTTATTACGAAATGTGGAACCATCGCTTTGCAGACATATGATGTCGAATAAAGGGTGCGCATGTAAGTACATGCACCGCAGTCATTTCGACACGTAAAGCAACGCGAAAAATTCCTTCACTGTTAAAAATGTCGTAGGGTATACCAGGCTAACTCTGAAAATGTTATACATAAATGAAGGTTCAGTACAAAGTTACATGGCGTTGATGTCAGTTTATCAGCCTTACCTTACACATGCATATGCTGGCTGTTTCCGTTGCAGTAGGCTCACCGAGGCGTTATACGAGCATATCACTTCGGATCCAGGAAGCGTGACAATACTTACCGTGCCATGGGTAACGTATAACGGCCACTACTTGGTGACATTTCTGCAACGCTAACCATGCCAACGAAAACCAGCCTGTCGTCATTGGCCGGTAGCCCCATTCCATTTCCCCGTGTGAACTTCTTTTTAGCGAACAGTTTAATAGCGCCATTGGCTGTCATGAACACGCATCGATGCACTGTATTGTCTTAGTTTTGACATCTTTCCATGTGAAGCCCTCGTTTATCTCCTGCCGATGAGCACATTTTGCTATGACACATACGAAATGAGCCTATTCACGTGGCGATAGGTGCATTTTGTTTCAAATAGGTCGCATGGATACTGCCGATACTTTTCTATGCATATTTTCTTGATAAAAATGCGGTACGGAAATGAATGTAAATTTTGTGGAAATACCTACAAATGTTGCGGCACATTCATCAGCTGACAATGATGACACGCCCCGGCGGGTTTCCGTATGTAGTTAATACCAGCGACGTAAGTGGGGTGCGTGTCATGCCATCTGTTGACCTCTAATATCCACCATTTCCGTGTCCAATAGCACAAGGACACCATTTCCGATGCAGCGCCATCTCATTAACCGCCCTCGGTAGGCTTCCAGGAGAGCGGCCGCGCCCGGGCGAAACAGAGGTCAATTACAGACGCCGGCGCCGTCCACGCTGCCGTGAGCAGACCACCGCGGCGAGGCTGCCGCAGCCAAAACCGATAGTGGTCGGGGAGCCCGGCCAAGGCCCAGTCGCCGCGAGCGGCAGAGTTACGACCGGAGAGTCCGACAAATGAAACTTGTTGCTTGGAATGGAAAGTCAAAGTGACGGGTCTTTCAAAGTAAAACGTGCAATTTTGCCATAAACTTTTCAACGGGCAAACTACTTCTTAACTGACAACTGTTTTTCTTGCAAAGGTAGCTCCTCCGTAATGCCATCTACTGGACATACATAATCGTTGTCTCATATCTGTTTCATGACAAAATCTGTCTTTCAAAACAAAAGCGCTCTTTCGTCTTTTGCCGCCCAGGTAAAGATGCTTTACTACTGCTCTGTAGAAACAATGGCATTTGCCTCGTTTATCAGCAGAATTGTGGCCAATAGCTGTTCCGCAGACCGTTTATCGTAGCAACTAGCAACAATTTGGCGTAAAACCTAGTCGCACTGGCCAGGAAATGTGTCTCAATGTCTGTTGCAAAAAAGAGTTCAGAAACACACATTTATTATATTCATCAACCCACAGGCCATCGTAAACATTACCTATCTGATCCCATATAGGCAAAAACTTAACTTGCGACGTGCAAAAAAGGACACTTCCTTTGACAACCAGTCATCGTTTCAAAGCCGATGACACAATCAATCTACGCAATTCATGCATTCTTCAATACGCATTACAGCAAACCTGCAGTGTCACAATGCAGTTTACATCTGCCCGATACATCACATCACACAGTCATAATTACAGATATCGCATTGACGAAGTTTCCGATTCGTCCCTGTCCGAATTACTTCGCCTTTTGCGCAGCGACGAGAATAGAATACCGTCGTCCAGGTCGGACCATAAGTGGATCATATTGCTGCCGTCTGGCCGATCCGGCTCCTGTCATCGGACGCCAGGCCGCCTATCGCGTTAGCCGACACCGGGTAACTGGATCACCGGCTCAATCCTGGCTGTCGGCCGGCCGACGCGCCGCTAAAAGTCGTATCTGTCGTCAATATACTGCAGCTCGGGGTCGGGCAGCGGTACGGAGCGGGCCCGGGACGGTCGAGCGGCTGCTCTCACTGCGGACCGGCCCCGCTCGTCTCGTTGCGCGGCCTCATTAGTCACTGAGCACCCCTTGGCGGCCAGCTCCGTGTGGCTGGGCAGAGTTCCGTTCTGGCGCTGTCCGTCGGAAGTCCTCAGGGCGGCCGAGTCGGTGGCGGCGCCCTCCCTCGAGGGACCGTCGGGTACGGACGGCACCGGAAGGATCGAGCCGCTGGCTGTCGGAGGAACGGCACGCCCAGCCGAGGACCTCCAGTCCACAGACGAACTGCGCCGAGGTATGATCGGCGGTTTGGACGACAGGTCCCCGACAGTTGCTGACGTAGTGGCTGTCAGCTTTACCTCAGAAGCCACAGTCGGCTTTGTTGGTGTCGACTGGTTTCTGGGAATCACAAATGCATTTCCTTGGTCTAACTGATCAATAGCATTGACTGATGCCTTTCCTGTGGATGCAATTACTGTCGCACTTGCTGTCACCTGGCCTCCATCAGTCACTAATGTATTTGCTGTCGGCTGATCCCGGCAGGTCAGTGATACATCCTCCGCTGTCGGCTGACCCGGGTGGGTCTCTGATGTACCGGCTTTCTGAGAGCCCCGGTCAGCCGGTGCCACGCCCATACCTGCGCCCGTATCCCAGGACAGGGGCGCGTCATTCCTGATTGATCCTTTGCTAACGATAGACGTTATTGAATTTCGAGCGTTCTTTTGTTGTTCGTTTTCTATGTCCACAAGTTCGTCCTCAAGTTCTTTGCTTGGGTGTTGATAGGCTCCCATATCAACGTATGTGTCACTGGCTTTGGTATACGTTTTGAATTCATCCGTCGCTTGATTATTTGCTGATGTGTAGCCTTCGCTGCTCAGAGCTGTTCCCGGAGTCAGTGTGACTGAACATTGTTTTGGTCTGTCGCTGATAAGTTGGCCTTCCTCAAAATATTGCATGTCACCGACTTGAACTGCACCATGCTGTGTAACACTATCCTGTTGTTGAGGAACTCCCCATTCGTTGTAATTTTCCGCCCACTGTTCATATTCGATGCCGTCGGTGGTCATATAAGCCGCTTTATGCGCCGTGGCGGGGTCGGTCCTCCAGCGATCGCCGTTCTCGGTCTCCCCGGTCCAACTGGCCGGCGCAGCGCCCTCCCAAGGTGCTCTGTCAAAGGACTGCTGCTGACCGTCAGTCGAGGGGCGCGGCTGATCGGTCGCCGACGGAGAATAGCTCCATCGGCCGTCGGACGGGCCGCGCTGAAGACCTACGACTCCATTCTGCCTGTCCTCCCAGGCTTTCGAACTGTCTTCTGGCGAGAATGATTGAACATCCCCTGACGTTCGCGGGGCTCTGGAATGTCGCAGCACGTCGTTGCCTTTGTTGTCGAACACTGCTGGCTGAGTTATGTCGTCATTCGCGATACCGCCGTAACTCGCTGACGCGTCAAACATTCTCCACCGACTATCAGTGGGCTCAGTGGCGATAGGAGCGGCTCGGTTCGACGGCTCTGTCCCCAGGCGGTACCCATTGACCTCGGTGGAACCAGCCGCGCTCGGTCGACTCACGCCGCCTGTTACCGGTCCACTCCTGTCGGCGAAACTGACCCGTCGCTGGCCACCATCGTTCTGCGACCTCCAATCAACAGCGGCCGGTCGAGGCTCAGTGATATTCCTGGGATACGAATCGAGCATTTGGACGCCGTCAGCCGGCCGGGTCTGCGGTGCCCTGAACTTCTGGTCCACTTGCAGCTCCTCCCAGGAGGCGAGCGGGGACCTCCAGAGGACGGTGCCGTCCGGCGGCTCAGTGGCACCCCATCCCCGAGCTTTGGGTGGCTCAGAGCCATCCCAAGAGGGCGGCGCCCCGTGCTGCTGCCGCGGTGGCTGGGGCACAGTCGATGGACCAGAGCGCTGGCCGTGGTCCGCATACCGGACAGGCTCCTGAGGCAGGGCGCGTCCTTCGGAAGGGTCTCCTCCGAAATATGTTGCTGGTGGTCGCCTCGCTGCTTGCTGCGCGGGGCGCGTGTCCAGACCGATGCCCTTCTGCTGGTACGGTCCTCCGAACTGTGCGCCATTCTGTTGTTGGAGAGGCTGCATCTCTAGTGAGATCGACTGGCGTGGCTGCCACTGACCTCCCGGGTCTGGCCGGGGCTGTGAGTGGTAAGGATGCGCTTCCTGTGGTAGGACCTTTCCAGGTAGCCTCACGGACGACTCCCGATAGAGGCCCCACGGTTTATCCCGCGGCCAGTGCTGAGAGCTCTCCAGTGTCGGGCGGGCGGGTGGACACTGCCACGGACGTCCGTCCGGTCTCAGCTGAAGTCCACTGCTGCTGGTTCGAAGACCACCACGAACTGACGACGCTGACACGACCTTGGCCGCGGCCGTGGTCTGTCGGCCGTGCGGCGGCCACGGCCGGAGGTCGGGAGGAGCCGTGCCGGTGCCGGCGGCCGAGGGCCGAGCCGGGTCCCCGCGGGAGTGCTGCTCGCCGCCGGCCTCTGGCGCGCGGCGGTATCGCGGCGCGGCATTGATCGCCGCGGAGCCGCCGCGTCCGTCTGCCGACACCACCAGCCGATGAGCATCAGCTGACCGGGCCGGCACGCTGGCTACGAGCCGCCTAATGGCCCCTGGGCCCTCCCCCGTGGAGCCCCGAGTGAGTGCGCGACGAGCCGAGAACAGCCCGCCCCCAGGGTAAGGGGAGCTCCGGTGACAATTGAACGTTAACTTATGAACACACTACATAGAATACGTAATAGGTACTGGTGAATCTAAAAGCGATGGTTATTAGCGAACGCAGTTATGTTTAGTGATACAGATCGCGTACCTTGGACAAACTAGCGTCACCGTGTGCTAATGGCGCTCCCTTCCCGAAAATAATGACCCGTTACTCAGAACACATAACCAAACTACATAGAGGGGACTGGATGAGGCGACACGTGTTTACATATCCTTCGGAGAGACGTGGCATGTGTGCAGAGCGGATTGCCCATAACGATGCCCAATAGATAGATTGCATGGCACCAATAACAGATCCCATCACCGGAAAGTGATAAGAAAACAATAAAAAATGACCTTAGCACGCTTTCTGAAAACAAGGTTCTCCCTCCCTTCCTCCGCTATTCTGATCTCTGACTGTCAGTCAGTTTGTCTTTGTGTCAGTTTGCACTTCTGTCAGTATGTCTGTCTGTCTGTCTGTCTGTCTGTCTGTCTGCCTCTCTCTCTCTCTTTCTCTCTCTCTCTCTCTCTCTCTCTCTCTCTCTCTCTCTCTCTCTCTCTCTCTCTCTCTCTCTCTCTCTCTCTCTCTCTCTCTCTCTCTCTCCCTCTCTCTCTCTCCCTCTCTCTTTCTCTATGCCGCAGCGTACAAATTCGTCTTCTCCGTGGCCGAGTGGATAAAAGCGCCGGAATTCGACGCTTAGCCGGAAGTGAGAGCCTGGTTCAAGCCCCGGTGCGGGCGGCCACATTTAACTCCTACGTGTAATGGCGTGCGTGTCTGTGGCAGGGGCCGCACAGAAGCCAGGTAACGTGAGTGAGCGGAGGGGACCGTGTCGAGTCGCGAGGGCACGTTAAACGTTCGGACAAAATTCTGCCATACAACTGGAATTGCGCGATCGGGTGGTGGGGTCAGGGTCAGCACAACAAGCTATGCTTAGTGCGGACTCTGATTCCTCAAATCCGCCCATTCAGCCATTCGGACTAAATTTATAGAAAAAAAATTAAAAAAAAATTAGTCGTGAATTTAATTTGTCGCTCAGCCTCTGCCTGCAAAAAAGCATGGCAGCACCGATCCAGAATATCGGTGACCATTTGCATTGGCCGGCGCGCGCTCCCTGCCGCTCTGACATTCATTCGTTACATCCTGCCACATTTTCTGCCTGGTAGGAAGATTGCCATCGGTGTCGTCACACGGCCATTACCATTGTTTGTCCGCCGGCTGTATTGTCCTCTCCCTGTCCCGTTCGGGCCCGGTCCCCTCTGCCGTCGGTTCGGTCTCTCTCGGCCGTCCGCCGGCAGTCTCACCATGCTCCGGCGGGCCGTGGCCCCCGGTCGTGCTGTATTGACGTTTGCCGTGCTCGGCCGCGCCCGACAGACCGCGCTCCGTACCGCCGCTGACCGTCGACTCGTCGCTAACTCCGCTCTCTGACCCATCTGACATGGAGGAGACGCCGCTGCTGGCTGAGCCGACCCGATCGTGGGAGGGCCGGTGGCGGCGGCGGCGGCGGCGGCTGCGGTGGCGGCTGCGGCTGCGGCTGCCGCTTCGGCGCCCATTCGGCGGCTCGGGCGCGCCTCTCCGTGCCGAACGACTGCCCAGCAGACGTCCGTACATTCGTCGCAGACCGCCGACGGCGCCACGCACGCTGGCCTCCAGTGTGGCCAGCGTGCTCTCAATGCTGCTCTCATCTGTGAACGGTGCGCTGTCGGTGAGCACCAGGCGGCGCCGGGCGGCGGGGCGGCACAGGTCACCGGGTGGGCGACCGGCACCGCCCCCGTCCGCCCGTCACTGAGTAATTGTCCCTCACACCGGGGCCGTCGGCGACATGCAAGCTAATTGGTTCTGCCCTGCGGCTTATTAGAATCCGGAGCGCCATATTGAGTACACTCAGAACAAGGAGCGTGACTAAGTCCCGAGTCTCCCCCGAAAGCCAATTACGGGAGACAGACGAAAATGGAGATAAGGCGACAGTGACTGAAGAATAGATGTCCTGATAAATCTGAATACATTCACGGCAGTACAAAAGCCCTCGGACGTGTCCATGAATAATAACGAGCAATCGCCAGGCAAATAGACCATCTCGACGTATCTGGCATGTTTGGCGGTGCCTTGTTCAGTTAAAATATTGCAACGTAGGTACGGATAAAATGAGCTATGGTGTGTACAGTGTGTGTCAGAAAGAGGCGCGCCGCTGCAGAATACCTGAGCTCGGCTCCGGTACGTACTGGCGGCTCGGGTACGGCTCCGTGCTGTCCCAGTACGTCTGATCCTCCTCGCCGTACGGTTCGCACGGCTCCGGCGCAGGGTACGGCTCGCACGGGTCGGCCGCCGGGTACGCAGGCTCGCACGGCGCACCGTATCCGTACTTGGCCTGCAGGTACTGCTCGCAGCGACGGTCCATATCGGCCTTCTTCAGCAGGTACTCGCACTCGCGGTCACGGCGACGGGAGCGGTACAGTTTCCGACAGCAGGCGAAACACACCAGGAACAGCAGTATCAGTAGAATCAGCAGACCCACCAGCATAAACACGTACTTCAGCTTCGGCGCTATGACGGCCAGCTCATCCAGGAAGCGTCTGAAGCCGACCAGCACTGGTGTGTCCGGCACCGGTTTGAAGGCCGGCTGCTCCCTGAGGACACCCATGGGTTCCTCCTCGTCCTCATCCTCGGGAGACGGTGAGGAGGACGGCTCTGGGAGGAGCGCCGGCACCAGAGGAGGCACGGGCGCCGGAGGAGCCGAGGTCACCACCGGCTGCTCGCAGAGAGTCCCGCGCCGCTCCGGAGGGCACACACAGCGGAACGCGCCGCCGCTCAGCGATAGGCACCGCGCTCCGGCCGCGCACGGCGGATCGGCCAGACAGACGTCATAAAGAGCGCAGCGTGGGTCGTCTTCAGACTGACGTCTCCAGCCGGGCCGTCGCTCACAGTCGCAGGAGAACCCCGTGCTGCTCTGAGTATCCCGGCGGCACGTGAATCCGGAGCCGCACGGCTCTCCTTCGGTACACGGGTCGACAGGCGCCTCACACGTGGTGCCGCCCCAGCCGGCACGGCAGCGACACGAGTACAGGGTGCCGCCCTCAGCGCTGCACGTGCCGCCGTTGGCGCACGGTGCGTACGCCAAGCACGCATCGGCGACCACACAATGGCCGTCCTCAGCAGCTACCCACCCGGGCTTCCAGCCGCAGCCGCACGTGAATCCCAGTGGCTGTTTACTGTCCACGTGACACCGCCAACGGGTACCACATGTGTGCTGGATTCCCTCACATGGCACAAGTACGATCTCACACGTCCTCCCTGTCCAGCTTTTCTTGCACTCGCAAAAGTAGTTGCGCTCGCCGACCGGGGAGCAGAGGCCACCGTTCGCGCACGGCTCCTGGGCGAGACACGTGTCGTACACCGCGCACTCTGGATTGGTCGGTGAACTGGGACGGTATCCAGGTTTCTCGTCACAGCCGCAGGAGAAGCCCAAAGGCCGATCTGGGTTACGTCGACAGCGGAAGCCGTCGTTGCAGACGTTCTTGGGGTCCAGGCAGGGGTCGAGCGGCTCGGAGCAGTTGCGACCGGTCCAGGCCGGGGGACAGAAGCAGCGGTAGAAGCCGTCAGCCTGGTCCGCCACGTTACGGCAGGTTCCTCCGTGTCGGCACGGCTTCAGCGCCAGGCAGGCGTCTTGTATCACACAGCCTGGATCAGCGCTCGAGCGGCGCCGCCAGCCCGGCCGAGCGTCACAGTCGCATGCGAATCCGACCTCGGAGCTCGTGTCCCTCGAGCAGCCGCTTTTAGCACCGCACACGCGAGTCACCGTCTCTGGTTCTTGGACGCAGGGATCACGCGGCAGCTCACAGCGGTCTCCCGACCAGGCCGCCGTGCACGTGCACGTGAAGCTCTGCTTACCAGCGCGACCAGGCGTGCAGGAGCCACCATGTAGACAGGGTGCCTGTGCCAGACACGCGTCGTCGAGGACACAGCGTGGGTCGGAGCCCGAATGGGGCCGGTAGCCGGGCCGCAGCTCGCAGTGGCAGCTGTAGCCGGTCCGAGCGGTGGCGTTACGTCGGCAGGTATCCTGAGCGCCGCAGGGTGAGCCCAGTCGGCACGGGTCGCGCGGCTGCTGGCAGAGCGGCCCCTGCCAGCCACCCAGACAGCGGCAGGTGAATGGCTCCGTGGTGGTGCCCGGTCCGCAGCGGCCGCCGTTACGGCAGGGCCGCCGCACCCGACAGAAGTCGGACCGGACGCAACTCGGGTCGTCCAGGGAGCGCGGCCTCCAGCCGCGGCGTGTCTCACAGCCGCAGCTATAACCGACTTTACTCGTCTCATCTCGACGGCAGGACCAGCCGGCACCGCAGCGCGCGTCCCCAGCGGCGCACGGGTTCCGGGGCTCCGCGCAGACGGGGCCGCCCCAGGCTAGAGGACACTGGCACCGAAACCCCGGCTCTCCGTCTTCCATAGTGGGCACACAGGTGCCGCCGTTACCGCAGGGAGCTTTGGCTCGGCACGGCTCGACGAGCACACAGCGCGGGTCGGTGGCAGACGTGGCCCGCCAGCCCGGACGGTGGTCACATCCGCACGTGTAGCCCAGCGCGGCGCTCGGGTCGCGGCGACACTTCCAGCCCGCGCCGCACGTGTCCGACTCACCACACGGGTCACGTGGCACGTCACACGTGCGGCCGGTCCAGGCCGACCGGCACTGGCAGTTAAACTCTCCCGGTGATAGGTACTGGCAGCTTCCTCCGTTCAGGCACGGCGAGCCGGTCAGGCAGGGGTCGGATACGGCACAGCGTGGGTCCTCTTCCGACTTGGCCGCCCACCCCGGCCGAGAGCCACAGTTACACGAAAAGCCTGCCGGTGAGTCCGGGTCTCTGTGACACTTCCACGTCTCACCACACGGGTTACCTGTCCGACACGGGTCTCGTGGTTTCTCACATGTGTCACCATGCCAAGCAGGGGGACAGCGGCACGTAAAACCGTCTTTGGGGCCCGACTCGCATGTTCCTCCGTTGAGGCACGGGCTGCGAGCGAGGCACGTGTCTCGGAGCACACACTGCGGGTCGTCCTCGGAGCGTGGCGCCCATCCGGGCTTCTCCTCACAGCCGCACGAGTAGCCAGCTCGGGATCGCGGCTCGCGGCGGCACGTCCAGCCGGCCGTGCAGAGCTCGGCATCATGGCACGGGTTGAGGGGCGCCTCGCAGCTGCGGCCGGTCCAGGCTGGGGCGCACTGGCACCGGTAGTCGCCGGTAAGGCTCAGGCAGGTTCCACCGTGTCGACAGGGCCGGTGCGCCGTACACAAATCAGCTCGCACACAGGTGGGGTCGGTTTCTGAGGCTGGTTGGTAGCCGGGCTTCCGGTCACAACCGCAAGAGTAGCCGGCTGGTTGTGTTGGGTCCTCCTTGCAGTGCCATCCGACACCACAGGGTCGACCGCGACAGGTGCCGCCGGCCAGCCGAGGCGAGCGGGCAGCCACCGGTGAGCAATTTCCATCGCCACCGGCACAGAGGCACGAATAGCCGGTGGCAGAGGTGGTACTTCGGACACAGCGCCGGCCGGCGGCACAAGGGGAGGCCTGACAGGGGTTGGCAGCGCGCTGGCAGCGGCTGCCCGACCAGGCCGGGTGACAGCGGCAGTAGCGGAGGCGGCCCGACTGACCGGCCGGCATCAGCCAGGCTGTGCCGGCCTCTCTGTACACCACCAGTCGACAGGAAGCGCGGTCTGGAAACTGTTTTCCGCACCGTAAAACGTCTGTTCGGCAGCGGCTTGCTCGGGTCACCTTCAGCAAATCACGGTGTAGACGATAAAACTTCACCTCCGGCGTCCTTGGAAACCAGTGACTGCAGCCAATGATGAGACTAGCGAAAATGGCACATAATTGAACCCATCTCATGACAGGTAAACTGAAATGAGATAAATGCTAATTTTGATGAACAAACAATTGAATTTAACCATGACGTACTAATATGCATATCAGATATGCGAAATTATAGCAATGTGATATAAAGCCAACACAAATAAATGCTCAAAGCAAGGCTCAAACGAGCGAAACGAGCCATCACTGCCGCATCTAGCGCAATATGTCAATCACGTGCTGTTTATTTCATGCTCCCTTCCACATTTCTTCCAGATAAAAATGTAGGATAGACATCCCGAAATAAGTTAATCAGCACAGCCAACAAAATTAAAAAGACAATCATGCAATAAACGAGCCCGCGCGATATCGCCTCTGTATTAAGGATCGGTATATTAGGATCGAGTATGTTGGATCGAGTATGTCGAGTTATATGATCTCGCCTCTGTATTTAGGATCGGTACATATATTAGGATCGAGTATGTTATCATTTGTCATTGATCTTTGTTTGTTTTGTTGGGTTAGGCCCTTTCGGTCGACAAGACCATTGCAGAGCCGGAAGGATGATAGGAATTAGGGGGAGACATTGGTCTGGGCAGGCATCCTAGTGAGTCGCCGGGGCTGAGCCCGTCCGAAGACAGGCCACCCAGCCCCAAGGCACTCACTGCACCCGGCTACGGGGTGCGCTCCCTCAGGAGCAGCGGTGCCGCTCCAAGGGAGCAGCCCGCATGAGATAAAGTTGCCTGTCCAGCCCGGAAGGGGGTGGCGGAGTGGAGGAGAAGGATTTCAGTATCCTGAGGATAGAAGCACGGATAGGTGGTCATTGATCACCCATTATTTCAGTGTCATCAAAATTCGTGATGAGTTAAAATCGCGTTTAAAACGCATCACATCTACACCTTTCGAAACTTGCATTAAGTCCATTTTCAATGTGGCTGTGTAGCTTGTAGCGTGCTTCACAGTCGAACACACTGACCTGCACTTTATTGACCTCGATTCTAACTGGGCAGATGTCGCTGACCACTGTCATCAATACCCACTCAATAGGTGAAATGCCGAGCTAATAACGCACTCGCCACGGTAATCTTCCCAGAATACCACCGTCTCGTCCAACAAAACTTGTTTAAAAACACATACATAGACCTCTGTACACGGTGTACAGAGGTTTATTACACATATAATATAACTACTCTGGCTGGTTAACAGACATAAGTTAATGAACTACTGTTAGGTCCTTCATTTGATTGATTACGCGCTTAAAGGAAAAGGGCCACCTTCGTGAAATATGAAGATATCGTTGTTTTTCATTTTGACATTATTATTTTTCATTTTCTTTTTAAAACTGGTGCCAGAAGTGCACAATTCGCGAAAAAGTATTTAAAACTATTTAACATATTGGTACTATGTTGATACTCTCTACGGCACCTACTGTATGATGGCATAGCGATGACGTCACACTCAAGCCAATCAGCGTTCAGAAGACAGACTCGTCGGATTGTGTCAGATAAGCTGATTGGTTAAAGCTGAGCTGGTTGGAGCTGATTGGTAAAAAACCAAAGCCTCGCCGCGGGTGACTGTATTGTCGGATAAGAACGCATTCCTGGGATAAGGACGCATTCCTGGCGTATTTTCTTTTAAAATTGCCGATAACTACGAATGGAGGCCGAAATCGGCCGTAAGGAGGTAGACAGACAGGTTTTCGGACACGGGCTACAAGATGGCTATCTCAGTTTCAATCCCCATGTTAAAGGTGGCCCCTTTCCTTTAATTCCTTTACTTGACTGAAGCAGCAGGACATAATCAATAGGTACTTATGTAGGGGAGAGTGGGGCAAAGCGGCCACCCTAACGCTTCTCACGATGCCAGCGCTTGATTTGTAAACTTGGAAAGATTCTTTCTATACCAATGTGATCCCTATTAAGTTGCCTTTTATTTCAACTGCGTTTTATTTCCAAAGGCGTTCACATATGGAAGATATTGACAAAACTTTAAACCTATGCATATCGGCCACTTTGCCCCATACCCTGGGGCAAAGCGGCCACCGGCGTCTTCTCTAGTCCCGATATGAGAAACAAAATAGTTGCCTCATGTACGACCAGGGTATTTGATGGTGACAAGGTTTAAGCGAGGATGGATGCTTGATTTGTCAGCATCCCACCTGTAGGTAAACAAAGAAAGGATTTTCATGAAAAAACATTCAATTGCATTATTTGGTAACTCATGCAACTGAAAAGTGGCCAAGACGAATGCATGACGACACATTTGAATATAAATAATGTTTTTTATCCAGATGGAAACAACTTATGGCCAATTGGGGGGTGGCCACTTTGCCCCGGCCACTTTGCCCCGCGCATAGCGTCCGAGACAAAAATATTTCAGCTCAGCTATTAGTGGGGTAAAAAACATCAAAATTGGTAGAATACATGTACGATAACCATGCAACGCATGGACAAGAAAGCTTATAAAAATTCCAAACGGTTATGGAATAACATAACATTTAAAAATTGTAAACATAGTTGGTAATCTGGCAAGAAATGCTTTTCCGTGTTTCACAGAACAATGGTGATGGGCCTGAAACCCCGGTCTGGCTCATTCGAACGACCGTGAAGAGAAGTATAATTGGAAACCATAAATTGGAACTGACGCCAGCTATGAAGGGCTAAAACGATGGGTGGCCGCTTTGCCCCGGGTGGCCGCTTTGCCCCACTCTCCCCTACTCGTGTATCATCTAGAATGTTGGCATAAGCCGTTGTGTGTCGTGAACATAATGGCCTGATGGACTACTTAAGGTGCTTCACAGTTACCCATTAATGGGTGGCGGTGCCGATAAACCTGAAAACAGGTTTAAACAAAAAAGAGAAACCCATCGCTCCTACCGAACAATCGAGAAAGACAAAATTACCGGAGCCGTCGGAAGTTGGAGAGAGGGGGCTTATGTACTCCGTCTGAGCACGACGCCAAACTAAGCTAAGGCACCAACCACTGACCGCTATATCTCGAACGTCAAAACCATCGGTCGATCTCTCTCCCAAGCTTAGATTACTCAGGCTGCACTTTTCAGGCGCTGGTGGTACGCGTTACTACACACATCTATTGACTGCACCTCTGTCAACAGTGATAAAGCCACGACAGGAGGCCTGAGACCGACCTTTTGGAGCGTCCGTGTTCTGGGAGCATCCGTGTTCTGTGGACAGGCTGACCTGAGAAACACTCGTAAAATGTGCATCGTGCAGCCTTACCTCTGGGAGTTACGAGGACACAGACTAACCTTACCCGCGGTTATTGACACCGGTGGGTGCGAACTGACCTGTTGGGTACAAGTAGGTGAAGACTGACATGTTGGGTAGACGTGAGTGCGGAATGACCTGTAGGGTAGACGTGAGTGCGGAATGACCTGTAGGGTAGACGTGGGAGCGGACTGACCTGTAGGGTAGACGTGGGTGCGGACTGACCTGTAGGGTAGACGTGGGTGCGGACTGACCTGTAGGGTGCACGTGGGTGCGGACTGACCTGTAGGGTAGACGTGGGTGCGGACTGACCTGTAGGGTGCACGTGGGTGCGGACTGACCTGTAGGGTAGACGTGGGTGCAGTCGTCGGTGTAGTTGTTGACCAAGTCCAGCTGGGGGAGCTCGATATTTTCGTCCACGACTAATGGAGTAATCTTTTCCCAAACAAATACGAGGTCGTCCGTCGTATAAGACACTGCAACAAAATATTCGTATTTTTATGCACTGGAAACTCTTTGATATCCAGCTATCGACAACTACATGCGCTCTTGAAATATATATGTTACAGGCCAAGTGCGAAGGCTAGTACATACACTATACAGTACCCAATCACCAATTTTCATCAAAATAGCTTTTTACATTCAATTAAAACGCACTGTCTCGCATTCTTAAAATCGGCATAGCATTAGCATTGACAGTAGTGTATATGCTAGCCAGCCACATGTTGTAATTCATCGTTCCCATAAAACAGTTTGTGGCTTGTGGAAGCACGATCATCATTCATCAGCGCAACGAGCGGTTCCCTTCACCAGCTACAAAATACATATCAGATACCAATCGTCGGCATAGTGGTCTCTCTCTCTCTCTCTCTCTCTCTCTCTCTCTCTCTCCTCTCCTCTCCTCCCTCCCTCTCTCTCCTCTCTCTCCTCTCTCTCTCTCTCTCTCCTCTCTCTCTCTCT